GCAAGCCACCAGGCCCAGGACTTGAACTAAGTTTAGACATGGGGGAGGCCAGCACCCAAACCACCATGCCACCTGCCAGTCCCTACATTAATTGCTTACCACCTGCTTTCATTCTTGTCCACAGTGCTGTACATATTCCAGAACCAAAGCACTGATCTCTTTTTTCATTAACATATAATAACTGTACGTACTTGTGGGTGTATGGTGTGGTTTCTCAGTACACAAACACAATGTGTAATGATTCCACACGAGTGCTTAGTACACCTATCATCTCAGTCTTTGCCATTACTTTGTTGGATACATTCAAAAATCCTTGTTTTGGCTACTCTCAGGTTCCTAGTAAGATTTCGTTAGCTATGCTGATCCAATCGTGTATTACAACTGCAAGCACTGTCCTCTTATCTATCTGTAATTTTGTTTCCATTAGTCAACATCCCTCTGTTCTCCACCCCCCCACCTTCCTAGCCTTTCATAGTCATTTTTCATCTATTTCTTCTTTATTTTAAAGAATTACTCAATTTTATTATTTTTATTATACTTTTTAATTTGCTACAGGGCAGCTGCACTCATGAGTGAGAAAGCAAGCAACCAGGTTCAGGACTCAAACCATGGCTGGCCATGTGGGAGTCCAGGGCCTTAACCACTGTGCCACTTGCTGGCCCCCTCTCTACTTCTTTCTTTTTTTATTTTTTTTTGGAGAGGTTTTTGCTATAGGGTGCATGCATTCATCAGAAAAACAGAGAGAGACAGAGAGATAGAAAGTGAGTAATCACCACCCGAAGAGATGGCCATGCCGCAGTTGTTTCTTCTCCATTCTCCTCTCGGGATCTTGGGTACACATGCACACGCGCCTGGCATGAGTTTAAGCCACCGGGTCCAGAACTCGAACTGCAGCTGACTACATGGGAGTTCAGTGACAGCCATTACGCTAACTGCTGGTCCCATTCTCTACTTCTTTAAGGTCATTTTTTTTTCAATTTCCACACATGAAGAACATGTGATATTTCTCTGTCTTATTTCACTTAACGTAATATCCTCCAGGCTCTCCCATCTAACTTCAAATGACAGGATTTCATCCTTTTTTTCTTTTATTTTTAGATTTTTAATTTTAATTAATTAATTAATTTTACATTCATTCACTGAGCATAGTCACCACACAGAAAATATGATTTCCCATCCAGAATATACTGCATAATGGCTTAATCATACATGTTATCATCAATAATTTTCCATTTCTAGTTTCATATATATATTTTTTTTCCATATATATGCAATTTTCCCGCTATTTCTCACCCTCTGCTATTTCCCACCCTCCTCCCATACATGTTTGACTTTAGGCGTGAAACTCTGAGTCTAATAGACAAGTATCATTGAGAGGTCAGATCTGAAAAGGAATTACTAATGATGCAAAAAAATACAAACAATCCTTAGGATTCTAAAATTGGTTAATCATGGAAGACTGCTTTCCTAAAACCCAATAAAGTCTCTTCCATCTCTGAAATAAGAGTTAAGTACTAGGAAATGTTACGCTTATTTTTTTCTTTCTAAAACAAAATTATTTTTAAAAGCTATAACTGGGCCAGCCATTGGCATGGTGGTTTGGGCAGCTGGATCCCACATGGCGGACTATGCAGTTCAGTTCGGGATCTGACAGCCTGAAAACATGCTGGGGGGCCAGCGGGTGGCGTGGCAGTTAAGGCGCTGGACTCCCCATGGCTGACCACAGTTCGAATCCCGTATCTGGTGGCTTGCTTTCTTGCTTTTCCTCTTTCTGTCTCTCTCTCTCTCGTCAAATTAAATAATAAAAATAATAATGAATAAAAGTAAATGAAATAACTTTAAAAAAAATAAAGAAAAACACAGCAGATACATGTGTAAGGGTGCCCAAAGTCCTGAGAGGAGGGAGAAGGGAAGAGAGAGGATTATGGCATGACCATCCTCCATGGAGGGGGTACTTTCTTGCTTTCTCTCTCTCTGCCTCTTTGTCTCTTTCTGGTAAGCACATGCACCCTCTGCAAAATGAGCGGGAAAAAAAGGTTATTATTTACTTATATATTTCGTGACTCAGAGAGAGAGAGACTGAGTGATAGGGTGACTCTGGGCGCGTGCGCTCACCAGACAGAGAGAGACAGAGAGACAGTAAGTGAGAAATCACCCCCCAGGGGGGATGGCCACGCTGCAATCCCTTCTCCTCCATTCTCCTCTCGGGATCTTGGGCACGCATGCACACGCGTCCGACGTGAGTTTAAGCCACCAGGTCCGGGACTCGAACCTGCAATCGACCACGTGGGAGTCCAGCGACATAGCCATTACGCTAACTGCTGGTCCCTATACTTCTATTTCTCAAAAGATGTAATTAATTAAGTAGGTTTGAGTAGCGGTAAAACTCAACAGAATTTATTAAATTTATTAATTAATTTATTTTTATCTAAATATCCATTTCAAAATTATTTACTGATGATGCTAAGAGTGTAATACATAATTTCAAAATTACATATGCCTATATTATTTGTGAGAACACAAAATCCTGACAGGTAACCCAAAAGATTACTTTTGTATATATTGAAATTTTCAATAAAGTATATTTGACGTGACCAATGTTACATTCTATAGTAAGATAAAGTATATAAGTACATTTTGTAGACTGAAGTGTCATAGTTAAAAATCGCAATTGTTATATTGAAATGCTTTTAAGTACTCTGGTAACTTAGTAATATAACTTTCTTTTTTGAGAGGTATTTGCTATAGGGCGCGTGCGCTCGCCAGACAGACAGAGAGAGACATAAAGACAGAAAGCGAGAAATCACCCCCCAGTGGGGATGGCCACGCCGCAATCCCTTCTCCTCCATTCTCCTCTCGGGATCTTGGGCACGCACGCACACGTCCAGTGTGAGTTTAAGCCACTGGGTCCAGGACTCGAACCACGGTTGACTACATGGGAGTCCAGAGACATAGCCATTATGCTAACTGCTGGTCCCAGTAATATAATTTTTTCTTTTTTGAAATTTAACATTTCTCAGATGAAACTTATGTTCTCCCTACATAATCATGTATAAGTGATATTGATGAGACTATAACAAGCTTCAAAATCATAGGCATACCCCAAAAAGGCATATCTCATTATATTTAGCATGTAACACAGTATCTTGCAAAAAGAAATACTATGTTAAGAAAATAAAATAATGGAGTCAAGCAGGTGGATGTGATAATTATGGCACTGGATTCTCACAGGGCCAACCAGGGTTCAAATCCTGGGCATGGTGGCATGAAAATCACACCAGCATGTGTTAGTGCCCATTCTCCTGAAAGGAGAATGGAGAAGGGATTGAGGCAGGATCATCCTCCTCGGGAGGTACTTTCTCACTCTCTTTCTCACTGTCTCTTCAGTGAGTGTAAGCATCGTATGATGAAAAACAAAAGAAAAAATAAACAATGACCTTTAGGGTAGAAGCAAAGCCTAGTAAGGATTATATTAGCCATTGTGAAAAGTGTTTACAACAGTATAAAAGAACATGCATGTGGAGAATAATTCTTATGTCCCCTTAGTAAAATGCAAAACAGTAATAGTATAGTAAAACAGAGTTAAAAAGGAGCCATCAGGTGGTATAGTGGTTAAGGTGCTGGTTTCCCACATGGCAGACTGCAGTTCAAGTCCCAGACCCGGTGGCTTCAAACTCCTGCTGGGTGCATGTGTGTGCATACCCCAATCCTGAGAGGAGAAGGAGGAGAAGGGATTCTGGTGAATCTCTCTCTCTCTCGCTTTATCTATCTGTAGTTATGGGATTGAGAAACAAAAGAAAAAAAAGAATAATCTATTCTATTCATTTATTCTTTATTCATGTGAACAAACAAATGAATAATTAGCAGAATGAAAATGAAAGGTGCAAGACGTGATCCATTGTTCTTTGTTGAAGATGATAAATACGGCAATATCCTAATATGATTTGAGCAGCAAATACTTCAGCCATGCTTTGAGAAACCATATTGAACCCACAAAGATGTAATGATTAAATGTAAGAAAGAAATTACTTTTTTAAACACACTGTTTCTTTTTATTATTATTTTAATTTTTATTATTATTATCTTATTATTACTTTATTCATGTACCTATTTTATTTGACCAGAGAGTGACAGAGATTGAGAGTGATAGTGAGGTGAGAGAGAGAGAGAGAAGGAAAGTCACCAGGTCTGGGACTCGAACCGCAGTTGGCCATGTGGAGGGTCCAGTGCCCTTAACCACCAAGTCACCTGCCAGCCCCCATAAGGAATTTTTTTTTGAGAGTTTTTTGCCATAGGGTGCGTGCGCTCGCCAGAAGGACAGAGACACAGAAAGTGAGAAACCACCCCCCAAGGGGGATGGCCACGCCGTAATCCCATCTCCTCCATTCTCCTCTCGAGATCTTGGACATGCACGCACACTCTCCTGGTGTGAGTTTAGGTCACCAGGTCCGGGACTCGAACCGCGGTCGACTACGTGGGAGTCCAGTGACATGGCCATTATGCTAACTGCTGGTCCTGTCCCATAAGAAATTATTTTAAAAAATGCAATCCATCATGAACACTCAGCAACAAGTAAAAGAAGATAGTTTTAAAGATGGACACAGGTTATCTAAATATATACGTCGGGTTTTTCTCATGGTGTTTTTCAGACTCGGGCGTCGAGTTTGGAGCTCCACTGAGCATGCTGTCTAATAAGCTGCTATATGTTTCCTTCAACAAAAAAATAGGAAAAAACAATCCCATAACTACAGATAGAGACAGAGAGAGAGAGAGAAAAGATGAGAGACAGAAAGAGGCAAATACTCAGGACATACAGGCAGGCAGAAGCAGACACAGAAAAGCCAGACAGATTGTATAGTGGTTCCTGGCTGCTCCATTGGGGCCTCATCCTCTGAAGCTTGTCTAACAAACAGGGCTGGGTCGCAGGAGAATGAAGTTCAACGTTCATTCAATAAGAAGCACCTCGGCAAAAACATCTGGAAAACGAACCATTTCTGTACCTTAATATCGGAAGTATCACGTTGACTGTTTCGCCAAGCTCTGGAAACTGATGAGAAAGTTCGATCTGCATGATCAAATTTCCCTCCTTGCAAATTTAGGAAATACGTTGTAAAGGGTTCCTAAAAAAGACAGCAGTTTAGAATAGCCGTATGTTTACTCATGTATAAAAATGTGATTTTTAAAATAAACCTTTATCTCTAAATATTTTAATGACTAATAGGCACTAGCCAGTAATATATACCAGAAATAGAATGGGAATTCTATCTAAATTATTGCATTAAAGGTCTTAAGTTATTTTTGTTTCAGAAGTATTTCTGGGAACCAGCAGTTAGCGTAATGGCTATGTCGCTGGACTCCCACGTAGTCGACCGTGGTTTGCGTCCCGGACCCAGTGGCTTAAAACTCACGCCGGGCGCGTGTGCGTGCGTGCCCTAGATCCAGAGAGGAGAATGGAGAAGGGACTGTGGCATGGCCATCCCCCTGGAGGGTGATTTCTCACTTTCTATCTCTCTGTCTCTCTCTGTCTGGTGAGCACACGCACCCTATAGCGAAAAACCTCTCCAAAAAAAAAAAAAGGAAGTATTTCTAAATATTTCTAAAATTTGGTATTTGCCACATTTTCTACATATTTTCTTTCTTTCCCAGCACAATTTATTAATAACATTCAGACATAAACTTGATGGATAGTTTCATAGCACAGGGAAATACTCCAATATGTAATTTTCCTATTGTTATGGCTCAATATTTAATTTATGATTAAGAAAAGAAAAATGTTTGGAAGATTTAAAAGCCTCCTCTTAGTTAAAGAACACTTAAACACGTATTAGTGGATAATTGCTTGAAATTAGCTAAGCACTATAAATTACTTCTAGGATTTATGTCTGCCTGCCCCCTTCTAACAAGCTTTAATTAATGATGTGCTGCTAATGCTTTCGCAAAGAAATTACTTTCTGGTAGATGAATCACCTTTCAATTTTACAGGAACATTTCTTGTTAAATCAATATATTATCAATACACGACAGCCTCGGTGTTGCCTACAAACACACCTTATCCAATTTAGAGAAACTGAAATTTCCAAAATAGATAGACATATGCCTACGTAAATGAAATCATACTGAGTTCTTCCTCTGAACGACTACGTTTAAAAAGAACCTATGTGTGGGAACCAGCAGTTAGAGTAATGACTATGTCGCTGGACTCCCGCGTAGTCGACCGCAGTTCACGCCCCGGACCCGGTGGCTTAAAACTCACGCCGGGTGCATGTGCGTGCGTGCCCAAGATCCCGAGAGGAGAATGGAGGAGAAGGAATTGCGGCGTGACCATCCACCCTGGGGGGTGATTTCTCGCTTTCTGTCTGGTGAGCGCACGTGCCGTATAGCGAAAACCTCTCCAAAAAAAAAAATAAAAAAAGAACCTATGTGTGATATATAGGATATACAGTGATTGAATGTATAAAATAAATAAATAAATAAATAGACTCTGTGTTACAATTTAGAATCTGGTAAGGGCAGCCACTTAAAGAGGCAAATCTAAAGTGGGGAAATCCAGGTGAAATATTTTAAAGCAATTCTACAGTAATCTGTCGTAAAATACATACCACATGAGATACAGAGATACTTATTAGAACATTAGCCGCGTAAGAAGATACATATATATTTTTTATCATTCAACAGCAACGATGGTGATGTGCAACCATTGCATAGTCTCCACGATATTGAATTTACTTTGTCATGGTTCATTATCTGAACAGGACTTACTATTCTTAGTAGCCATGCAAGAACAAAACTTGCAGTTGAGTAATGAGTGCCGTAGTGGAACTTTGGAACTTGGTCATCTTCCCAGGATTCATAACGCTCTGTAAAGAAGGCTGCTCTTTTTGGATTCAAAGCACCTATTGGCTGCCAAAGAAACAGAAAACAAGAATATATGTAAGTGTAACTGACCTTTAATCTTTCTCTTTCTTCTAAAGCTATTCATTAGCAGATGTCAATATTTTTTTTTAACTAAAGTTTTTACTATATGGTATGTGGGCTTGCCAGAGAGACAGAGAGAGGCAGAGACGGAAAGGGAGAAATCACCCCTTCCAGGAGATGGCCATGCCACAGTCCCTTCTCCTCCATTCTCCTCTTGGGATTTTTAGGCACGCACGCACACATGCCCCATATGATTTTCAAGCTACTGGGGTCCAGCACCTTTATAACCATGCCACCTGCTGGCCGGGTGGCAAAGTCAATTTTAAAGTTATGCACTATTTAAGCTAATATACACTGTTATGTTGACAGACTAAATAGAAAAAAAAAATTATTTTTCAACACAAGTTAAACATGCACACTAAGTAAGTGGATGGATAAACCTGTCATTTTTCTGTCAGTCTATGTGTAGTTGAATCAGACCATATCAAGCATCTCATAGACTATTAGCCATACAATATTTTGGAAAGCACTTATGAAACCCCATTTGGTTAATAAGAAGCAACAATCAGAAACAGAATTTTGAAGCTGGAAGAATGCTTATAATGGTTCCTGAAAAGCTCATGGAACAAAACCCAGGAAGCAGTGAGATGAAGTACAAAACATAACAAAAAAAACTGTATCAAAGGGGGATTAAGAAATAACTACAGGGTACGAGCAGGTGGCCCGGTGGTTAAGGTGTTAGACACTCCCACATGGCCGACCGTGGTTCGAGTCCTGGACCTGGACCTGGTGGCTTGCTTTCTCACTTTCCCTCTCTAGCTCTCTCTTGTTCTCTGTGTCTCTCTCTGGTCAAATTAAAATAAATGAATGAATAAATAAATAAAAATTTTAAAACAAGAAATAACTACAAATTTCCATTATCAATAGTAGGAGCAAACTAGAGTAGAAGAGAAAAACATTCCTGCATAAACTGTAAAAACTATGTAAGAAGAACCGTAGACAGATGCTGAGGTTATGCTGGGAAAACAGCCCAGAAGCAGCGTGGCACCATGGCAAATACCCCGGCCTCATGGAATAATTGCGATCCCCACCCCCAAGGGTGTCTGAGAACAGGAAAACATAACAAAAAAAACTGTATCAAAGGGGGATTAAGAAATAACTACAGGGTACGAGCAGGTGGCCCGGTGGTTAAGGTGTTAGACACTCCCACATGGCCGACCGTGGTTCGAGTCCTGGACCTGGACCTGGTGGCTTGCTTTCTCACTTTCCCTCTCTAGCTCTCTCTTGTTCTCTGTGTCTCTCTCTGGTCAAATTAAAATAAATGAATGAATAAATAAATAAAAATTTTAAAACAAGAAATAACTACAAATTTCCATTATCAATAGTAGGAGCAAACTAGAGTAGAAGAGAAAAACATTCCTGCATAAACTGTAAAAACTATGTAAGAAGAACCGTAGACAGATGCTGAGGTTATGCTGGGAAAACAGCCCAGAAGCAGCGTGGCACCATGGTAAATAACCCGGCCTCATGGAATAATTGCGATACCCACCCACAAGGGTGTCTGAGAACAGGAAATGAGTAAATCCTGCAGACCACGCCTGACAACATCCTGTGAATCCTACCTGTTATTTTGAAAATCATATTTTAGCGGGAACCAGCAGTTAGCGTAATGGCTATGTCGCTGGACTCCCACGTAGTCGACCGCGGTTCGTGTCCCGGACCCGGTGGCTTAAAACTCACGCCGGGCGCCTGTGCGTGCGTGCCCAAGATCCCGAGAGGAGAATGGAGGAGAAGGGATTGCGGCGTGACCATCCCCCCTGGGGGGTGATTTCTCGCTTTCTGTCTCTATGTCTCTGTCTGTCTGGCGAGCGCACGTGCCCTACAGTGAAAATCTCTCCAAAAAAAAAAAATCATATTTTAGGGTTGTGGTAAGGAAGTTTGAACAAAAGAACTGCCTATCAAGATTCCTCCATGTCCCCTAAATTGCTTGGCATAAGACAAAAGCTTAATGAATGTTAGTTGGTTTCATTATTGTTGCTGCTGCTATTGTTATTCAAGCTCTATCAAACAGAAAAATTGTGTACGACTATGCACATGTACACTTTCTTAAGTAAGACACGGTAGTTTGGAGCTTCTCGAAGGGGTCTAGGGCTCAAAGAACATGAAGATCAATTGCTTTAGGGGCTGGCAGGGGCTGTGGTTCATAAGGTGCTGGACTCCCACATGGCCAACTGTGGTTCAAGCCCATGACCTGGCAGATTGCTTTTTCACTTTCTCTCACGTGTTTTCTCTATGGTTTAAAAAAAAAATGATAATGATGATGTTGATAAATAAAATAAAATAAATCTTTAAAAAAAGATCAACTGCTTGAAATAATGACTCATTCTTTAAAAATGTTCCTGTCTCTAGAAAATCTCTATTCCTTATGTAGAATGTGAGTATATCAATTCACTGAAAAAATGCAGGCTACGTGAGACCACTTCTCTTCGTAAGATAGGGAACAGTCCTTTGGGTTATATCTTTTGTGAAAACCTGAGAGTTAGTCATTCCTCATTTTTAAGAGAGAGCAAATATCTGATTATTTATGGGGAAAATACTCAACTAAAACAAATCGAAATTACTGGTTTAAAGACGGATATACTGAGAATTAGTCTACTGAAAATGAAGCAATGTTCAGACCAGTTTTTGAACTGCTTTTCATATCAAGTAATTTTAAGCCACATTTAAAATTTTTTCATTTTTACTATCTTTCTTACACTCATTGTTAACTATTTTTTCAAAAGTACTATTTATATTTGGTACTATTCTCTTTATTTATCAACATTGTTTTATTTTAAGCTTTTCTTTTATGTCACAAGCAGATTTTTAAAAATTTTTAGTTGATTACTATTTGAAGTCACTGTCACAGGATATTAATTTAAAATGCCATCTTATAAAACATTAGTTTCTGTATAAAAGAATTATATCCGACTTTCTAAGTGTATGCTGGTTAAGAATGAAGCTGAAGCCAAGAATTCTTTCTTTGTTACAGAACCAATTTGGAATGCCTTTAAATGTATTTTAGTTGTCGTCCCTAAAGACGGAGCCATGCAAAAGGAAAAAAAGACCAAATAAAACCACTGGATGACAAATTATATGAATTAAAAACAGGATCAATGCTTCTTTTGTATGATTCTGCAACGTATTAAGTATTCGCTTTATCTGCTCCTATTTTTATTACAATCCAACTGAGTAACCTCCCCCCCAAAATCAATAGTTATAGAATCACATTTCTTGAATATAATGCTAAAACCAATTAGGATTGATTTCACTAGCGTCTGAAAAAAATGGCCTCTGTGCAGGGATCCACAGAGGTTCTACAGTATCAATTCTGGCTGTTACTGTTACAGTTGGTTTCTGAAGCCTGCTCTAGGACAGCTATCAAGACATACCGCATTTATTTGCAGGCATATAAAAAAGAAGTCCCCAAATAAAAGGAGGTTACCAAAAAAATAAATAAATAAAAAAGAGCAGCAGAGCTGTGCAATGACAATGATACAGTATCAGCTTACTCAGAGAAGTTACAGTGGGAATACACACATTGAATTATACATTACGCGAAAGCACTGATTTATTGTGGTAATAACATCCACCTCATTAAAAGATGCTGCTTTGCTGCAGTTGGAAGGCTACATATTGTTTACTGCTATAAATTAATGGCAGTGCAAAGAAGACTGGGAACAGTCCTAACAATAGATCTGTAATGACAGTGCTGTATATCACTGCTTCCTCAGCAGCTTCATAATAAAATGGAGACAATGTATTGAGCTAATACATTCTACCATGCTGGCCCATATTTTTCTGACAACTGCTTTAAAAGATGAGCTGGATCCAACTATGTTATAATGCTGCAAAACATTTAACTAAAGCAAGAGTCGGTCGCACACCAAAGTGGATCACAGCATTTTAAAACATTGTCTAAATCAGCATTTCAAGATGTTTATTTGTTTGCTGCAAAAGAACAAGAAGTAGACACTGATGGTCCCCCTTCCTGAGACAGTATATTAAGGTAACAATTGCAAAAAACGCTTCAGGAAGGGGCCTAGTACTATCGCCTAGGTAGAGAGCTCTTTGTATCACTCAACGAGCTTGACAGGGTATTTTTAAAATCAGCACCTTTTTAAAAGAAGGAGACAAAAAACTATAGTTCATCAAAAAACGGCCATAAACGCTCTGAAAAAAAAAATCAATAGAAAATATGTATTGATTAGAGAGTATAAAAGTAGCATAATTCAAGTTTACAATCAGGAAAATATAAATAGCCTTAGGCTACAGAAAAACAACTTTAAACACTATAAAAAGCCAAACAACAGAATTATATAAGATTCTTTTTCTCTACAAAATAAAACAAACAAAAACATAACCTCAATTACAATAGTGTAAAAAATGGGTTCAAACAAAAAAAATTTAAAACTAAGTGTCAGAACTAACAAGAAAAGATATTTAAAAATGAAAATAAGCATTTGTATTAAAGAAAAGAAAAAGACAAATTAAAGAAAACCAAAACTCTTGAAAATGGTATGAATAGTCAAGAAAAATGACTCAGGACCAACAGTTAGTGTAATGGCTATGTCGCTGAACTTCCATCTGGTCAACCGTAGTTGGAGTCCCAGACCTGGTGGTTTAAACTCATGCCGGGTGCGTGTGCGTGCGTACCTAAGATCCCAGGAGGAGAATGGAGGAGAAGGGATTGCGACGTGGCCATGCCCCGAGGGGGTGATTTCTCGCCTTCTGTCTCTCTGTCTCTCTCTCTCTCTCTGTCTGGCGAGCGCATGCGCCCTATAGCAAAAACCTCTCCAAAAGAAAAAAAAGCGAAAAAGAAAAATTACTGTAATTAGAACATTTTAATGTATTCACATATAGCGAAGTTGCTATCTATGATACAGTGGTAACTCTTCTGCTTTTAAGACAGTAATGATACCATTCAAAACAGAATATGTAAAACA